GAAAGTGCCCAGTACCCATCCTTCCTCCAGAGGTGTAAGTAGGTATTTGTGCATGGAATTCTGCATTTTTGTTATATCACTACCTCACCTCAAACATTTTGGGTTCGGCCTCTTTTTAGCCAAGTGGTATTTGATATTATGTCCCCTGCCTACACTACGCCCTGGGTAGCTGCCTGTGCTGCCCTTCCTTGCTTACATATCGGCTTCTCATAATCTGATTCTGCTCAAACTGGCAGACCGGGGCCTTTTTTTTTTTCTTTTTCCGAGGTTGAAATTATTTATTACAAGAGAAGCTGCTCTCTGCAATGCCTTTACGTATTTTTGCCTTATTGCAGTTAGTTCATAATAAATAAAGATATAAATACGTTAAATAAATGACCCAATGAAACCGTTTTGCAGCTAATGCCACCAATTTTTTTAATTTTTTTTTAGTTACATAGTATTTGAGGTTGAATAAAGACATAAGTCCATCAAGTCCAACCTATTGCGTGTATGCATTTATGTTTGAACAGGTGTGTACGTGTGTATTAGTCCATGTGGGATTTTGCTCTTAGGCGTACCTGTACCCCTGTATATTATGGTGTCCGAGGAACTCGTCCAGGAGTTTCTTGAATGATTCCACACTCTTTGCCGAGATCACTTCCTGCGGCAGCGAGTTCCAGACCTTAACCGCTCTGACTATAAAGAACCCCTTGCGCCCTGTGTGTTCAAATTTTTTTCCCACCAATTTTTGGCTGTGCCCTCTGGTCTTTGTTATGGAGCTAACCTTAAACAGTTTGTTAATAATGTTGCTGTCGCCCTTGAATAGTTGATACAGGAAAATCATGTCCCCCCTTAGTCTCCTAACCTCCAAAGAGAACATATTTAATTTTAACAAACTTGTTTCATAGTTCAGGTCCTCAAACCCCTTAATAAGTTTGGTTGCTTTATTAAAATGAATTTATTGTGTATTTGGATATTTAGTTATTTTTGTTCATAAAATATATTTTTTTGGATTTCTTAGATAAATATGAAATGATTGCATGTGAATATTCCATATTTATCAAAAGCAGCCAGCAGGTAGGAAGCTCAAATTGAATTCTGCTCCGAATTTCTTCCCCAGCTGATTTATTACTATGTTGGGAAGAGATCCAAACAGCAGGATATCAAATGAATTACACACCGCTGTATGGTGCAGAGAGGGTAACATTCCACCCCTAACCCCTGTTATTTATTAACTCAATACAGTTTTATCTTTTAGATTTAGTCAGAAAATTATTTTTTTTGTGCACGGATACTGATTTTGGTGTGTTTTAACAATTGAATTGTGTATTTTTATCGGTTTAATATTAATTTGAGAAACATTTGCGCAATTATCGCAGGGCCTACAAATTTAGTATCACCATCTTTTTATTCTACCGGGCCTGCGCATTCAGAAAATATATGGTTTGGGGGGTCTTTGACAAACGCTAGCAACGCAGCAGTTGAAAATCAAACCAATAGGAAAAAATTGCAGAAAATTCAAAAATGGCTTGGCCAGCTGATTTGAAAAATGTTCCGGAGGGCTTGGCAGCGAAAGGGTTAATGCAATCTTTTTTGCATGCATTACTGTGCCAGCTCTTGGATGTCTTCATCAATAGAATAGCCAAATACGACATCTACCTCCTTCACGTTACACCGCCTTACTTTTATAATTTTTACTAAGTGACAGGTACCCTTTAGTGACTCCAGAAACCATCAGCTTACAAATGTCCTGTGTAGTTGGTACAAGATTTCTGTAGCGTTCCTTGTGTCTGACTCCTAGTGGTAGCAGAGGGAAGTGCAGGCTTTTGGATTTGGAAAGTGCCCAGTACCCATCCTTCCTCCAGAGGTGTAAGTAGGTATTTGTGCATGGAATTCTGCATTTTTGTTATATCACTACCTCACCTCAAACATTTTGGGTTCGGCCTCTTTTTAGCCAAGTGGTATTTGATATTATGTCCCCTGCCTACACTACGCCCTGGGTAGCTGCCTGTGCTGCCCTTCCTTGCTTACATATCGGCTTCTCATAATCTGATTCTGCTCAAACTGGCAGACCGGGGCCTTTTTTTTTTTCTTTTTCCGAGGTTGAAATTATTTATTACAAGAGAAGCTGCTCTCTGCAATGCCTTTACGTATTTTTGCCTTATTGCAGTTAGTTCATAATAAATAAAGATATAAATACGTTAAATAAATGACCCAATGAAACCGTTTTGCAGCTAATGCCACCAATTTTTTTAATTTTTTTTTAGTTACATAGTATTTGAGGTTGAATAAAGACATAAGTCCATCAAGTCCAACCTATTGCGTGTATGCATTTATGTTTGAACAGGTGTGTACGTGTGTATTAGTCCATGTGGGATTTTGCTCTTAGGCGTACCTGTACCCCTGTATATTATGGTGTCCGAGGAACTCGTCCAGGAGTTTCTTGAATGATTCCACACTCTTTGCCGAGATCACTTCCTGCGGCAGCGAGTTCCAGACCTTAACCGCTCTGACTATAAAGAACCCCTTGCGCCCTGTGTGTTCAAATTTTTTTCCCACCAATTTTTGGCTGTGCCCTCTGGTCTTTGTTATGGAGCTAACCTTAAACAGTTTGTTAATAATGTTGCTGTCGCCCTTGAATAGTTGATACAGGAAAATCATGTCCCCCCTTAGTCTCCTAACCTCCAAAGAGAACATATTTAATTTTAACAAACTTGTTTCATAGTTCAGGTCCTCAAACCCCTTAATAAGTTTGGTTGCTTTATTAAAATGAATTTATTGTGTATTTGGATATTTAGTTATTTTTGTTCATAAAATATATTTTTTTGGATTTCTTAGATAAATATGAAATGATTGCATGTGAATATTCCATATTTATCAAAAGCAGCCAGCAGGGAGGAAGCTCAAATTGAATTCTGCTCCGAATTTCTTCCCCAGCTGATTTCTTACTATGTTGGGAAGAGATCCAAACAGTTTTTTTTGGAACCCTCTGGGCTTTCTATCTGCAGAGAATCAGGAAGTGCTCAGGCCCTTCTGGACAAAGAACTGCTATAAAACATAATTTCATAAACGGAACATTTTAGTTCACTTTACTTTGACGCTGCAACTTTCTATTTTGAACTACAGCAAAACCGTGTGACGTGCGGCCAAAGGGAAAAGCAGCAATGAACAGACCGCAGGCAGGTTATAAGCTTCCTTGGGGCAGGAACTGACTTGTCTCTGTGGATGTATTCTGTAATGCCTTGTAGAATTATTTCGCCGCTGTATAACCAGATAAATAAATGTTACAGATTTAGTGCTCCGCACAGATTGTTGGAGTTGCTGTGATAGATTTTGGGTGTCCGACATTGCAAGAGCACCAAATTGCTTGGCGCAAACCTTTGTAATAGATTTACATTAGGGTCCCCATCACCAGCATCGCAAATGCAATTTCTGTTCACTGTGCCATTGTTGTGTTCATCCACAGAGTAGATAAAGACAAGTTACTCTGGTTGGAGCTTACACAGGGATGATGACTCTCCTTGCCCCCATGTGATAGTGCTGGACCAATCATAAGCTCTCCCCTGTACTTGGAAGTACTGAGTGTTTCACAGGGTAGCAAAGGGGGAACTAGGAAACAGCAGCAGAGGATTGGTTGTAACAGGCTATTAAATGAGCTATTTTGCACTAAGAAGGCAAATTAAAGGTCTACTTTCCATGCAAAGATTCTCCCCTCGGACAAGTGACCCCCGCCTGGAAGTGCTTCCCCTGTGTCATTACATTTGGTCCCTGTCTGGTCAGATGTTGCAGAACACATCCTCTTCCTAAAGTTGCACACCAGTTGCTCCTCTGAGAAGCAGTTTTCTGATGGTGAACATCACAATTAGGGATTAGCTCTAGCCACTGTGAGGCATAACCAAAAAACTCTACACCACCAACAAAGCCCACTAGAGCCAGGATTATGACTGTTGGAGGGGGTATAGAGACTTGTATACAGGGCTCCTAGGGTGGGGAGTTGAAACTGTGTATATATATGGCTTCTCTGGTGGTGGTGGGAAGATAGACCTGTATATAAGGCTGGTGTGCATGATAGTGGGACTGTATCTATGGCTCCTATGGTTCTCTGGGGGTGAGATATGTGTGTGTGTATGGCTGCTGTGGGGGATGATGGGACTGTATATATGGTTGCTCAGGTGGAGGTGGTAAGATAGATCTGTATACATGGCTTCTGCGGATGAGGATGGAACTGTATATATGGCTCCTATAGCGTGGAGGAGGCAGGATAGACCTTGTATATATGGCTGCTCTGGTGATGGAAAGATAAACCTGAACATATGGCTGCTGTGGGGAACTTGGGGCTTTATATATTGCTGATCTGGGGTTAAGATGGACCATTATATATGACTACTGCAAGAAAGGGTAGAACTGTATATTTAACTTCTATGGTGGTGGTGCAAGGAGGATATAGCCAGTATATATGGCTGTGGTGCGGTGGTGGGAGGGTAGCACTGTATATATGGCTTCTTTGATGTGATGGTGGTAGGGTAGCCCTGTTTATATGACAGCTCTGGTGTGATGGTGGGAGGGTAACCCTGTATACATGGCTGCTCTGGTGGGAGGATAGCCCTGTATATATGGCAGCACTGGTGTGGTAGTGGGAGGGAAACCCTGTATACATGGCTGCTCTGGTGGGAGGATAGCCCTGTATATATGGCTGCACTGGTGTGGTGGTGGGGGGGAGGGGGTAACCCTGTATACATGGCTGCTTTGGTGGGAGGATAGCCCTGTATATATGGCGGCTGTGGCAGGGGAGGGTGTATGTATGACCATTCTAGGAGTGAGTACTGCATACTTCATTTGCCTCTGCTAATCCTATTTAGGTTCAGTATTTATTTTTCTTTTGTGCTAGTTTAATATTTTGTGTCTAGACATTTACGTTTGGCCTCTCAAACTAATTGGCGCCTGAGTGATAGGCAGGACCTACTGAGCCAAATTGGCTATGGCCGAAATTAAAATGTTTCCCTTCCCACTCTTCACAGTCACGTTTACAGAGAAGGAGAAGGAGCAGCTGAGAAAATTCACCAACAAGTCCTATCTGCTGGATAAGAGAGCGAAGCAGCTGGCGTACCTAGGTCTGATCGATGTGCTGCTGGCGTACTGCTATGAAACCCGTGTCACTGAAGGAGAGAGAAATGTAAGTGGATTTTTTTCCCCCCTCTTCTCTGCGTTCTGTCTGGAGGATTCCGCTGTAATAGTCCTGTATTATGGGGAGCAGCCGGCCTCTCTGACAGGCGAGGCGCGCAGACGGGGAACGAGCAATAATCTGACAGGTGAAAAATGAGTTTCTCTCTCTGAAAGGATCAGCTTCAACTCCGCAGTTAGAAGCGCTTCGCAGTAGATTAACCCGATAGTGAGGAGCCGACCGCCAGTCTCGCCGGCTCAGAACCGCTATGTGAAGTGTAAGAAAGGCACAGGATGGAAGGAGTTTCAGGATGGGGCTTGTTGTGCTCAAGCAGAATGGCTAAAACATTTTAAGGGCCCAAAACCAGCAAAAAAAACACCCTAAATATTAACACCAAATGTAGAAGAGTTAAAAGATACACGTTACTGTAAAGATACTGTATAAGCCTCCCTTGTGTAGACAGTCAAAACACGAAGACTGATGCCAGGCGTCGCTACTTGTGGTCCGTACAAAATCCATATCAGACCTTGATCTGATATAGGGATCTGGTATGGAATTTAAGGAGGGACCCAATGCAAAAACACAAAGAATGTTGGGTTCCCCCTTCACAATAGAGTCCTGCTTCACCTTAGGCACCCCTTCACACCAGGAGCCCCCTCCCTCCTTTCACACCAGGAGCCCCCTCCCTCCTTTTGCACCAGGAGCCCCCTCCCTCCTTTTGCACCAGGAGCCCCCTACCTCCTTTCGCACCCGGAGCCCCCTCCCTCCTTTC